TTCACATCCGGACCTCAGGTGGGTCCACTGGGCGCCGCCTTGCGGTACCTTTAGCAGAGCTAGAGAGATCCCTCGGCGGGGAGCTCCGCCTCCCCTGCGCAGCGACCTGCGCCCAGCGGGCCTCGAAGGTCTTTCAGGTGTAGACGCCGCCAGAGTTCGCAGCGCGAACAGCCTCGTCTCGTTTATGGCACAGTGCTGCCAGCAGTTGTCCCAGCGGGACGTCTGCTGGTCCATTGAGAACCCAGCCAGAAGCCTCATCTGGCAGATGCCGAGCCTCAGAGCCATTTTGCGGTCGGCCCACAGAGTGGAGTTCGACGCCTGCATGTTCGGAGGCATGCGCAAGAAGCGCACGGCAATCCTGTCGAACAGGGATTGGTTCGCAGGACTTAGTAAGTCCTGCGATGGTCAGCACCGTCACCTGCCATGGGGCAGAGCCTCAATGGATGGTACCACAGTGTGGGCCACCTCCCTAGAGAGCGCGTACACATCCCAGCTTAGTTCGGCGTGGGCTTCTCTCGCAGCCGAACAGTGCTCGGAACAACTAAGGGCAGCGCCCCTGAGCAGGAAGCGCCTGCGTCGCCTCCGCTTCCAACCCGATTTCAGCGACAAAATAACGCTGGAGGGCACTGCAGCGCAGTGTTTCAAAGGGTGGAAGACCCCACAGAAGCTGCCACAGTCGTGGTCCTGCTTCCCGAAAGGTTCACGGCTCATCCAGTGGATAGAAGCCACTCAGAAAGCGGTGATTTCGATCCCGCTGCAGCCCTTGCACTGGGTGCGCAGAGCGCACCTTATTGACCACCCAGCCAGGGATATCGAAGCCGTGCCCTTGTCGCTGAAGCGGGCGATCGCCGCAGAGGTCCACGAGGAGCCCGTAGCCCTTGCCAGGCGCAGGACCACGGCGTCCATGCACATCTCCAAGGTATGCACAGAGTGCAAACCCCTGGAGAAGGTCGCGCGAGCCTCGCTAGATGCGCAAGTCAGCAGCGTTACCCTTCCCAAGCAGACCGTGGCCTTAGAGAGGCTGCTGAGAGAGATAGGCTCCCCTGACCACAGCGTGGCCACGCAAGTGCGCGAAGGTTTCCCACTATACTGGGATGGATACAGCCCAGCGGCCTGTGGCCGGCGCAGATCCTGCCGCCATCCTTGGACGAGTCGTCCATTTTGCAAAACTCCCACGGCATAGGCATGCGAGGCGTGCGCAGCGCGCTACGCCCCTCCCAAGACGGAGTGTCAGACAAAGTCTGGGAGAGTACGCTAGAAGAGAGCCAGCAGGGCTGGCTCTCGCTGGAAGACTTCTCTGAGGAAAGTCTTCACGACACGATAGTATCGTCTCGCTTTGGAGTGGTGCAGAAGGGCAAAGTCCGCCCCATCGACAACTTCAAAAGCAGTTTCATCAACAGCTGTTGCGGGACAACAGAGAAGGTCCAGGTCGACAGCATCGACGAGCTTCTGGCCGTATGCCTCGAGTGGCTTCGCCAGGATGCGCCTGCAGAGCAGGCGCACCGGATTGTGGGGAGGACCTGGGACCTCAAAAGCGCTTATAAGCAGCTCGCAGTGCAAGCGGCTCACAAAAAGTTTGCTTGCATTGCAATGGTAGACCCACAGAGTGGGAAGGTTAAAATCGCTCACCTGCATAGTATGCCTTTCGGCGCGGTAGCATCTGTACACGCGTTTCTGCGCTGCAGCGAAGCGCTGAAGGCCATAGGCCGCGAGAAGCTCGCGCTCGTCATGACGAGCTTTTTCGACGACTTTACAGTTCTTACGCGCAGCGCGCATAAGAAGCTGGTCACATTGGCAGTGTCCAATATGTTTCACAAGCTGGGCTGGCAAGTGGCCACGGAGCCCAAGAAGCCACCATCGCAGCCAGCCTGCGTAAGGTATTATTTTCACGGAAAGGTGTTTTGTGATTTTAAAGAATTTCTTTAAAATCTTCGCTCGGCCATGTTTTCATCTTTGTTTCATGTCACTGCAGACATCATGCGGTTTTTATATATGTTGACTTCCGCGATGTTGCAGTGGGTGCTCTGAGGTAGAGCAGTGAGAGTTTTCGAACTGGGCTCTCTAGAGGCTTGTACTTCTGTCTAGCAGGCCCGTGACCTCCGTATTTCGGTGTTGCTCTTAGAGCTCCGTGCAAGAGCCCCGCAGGGGCTTGGATGGAACCCGGCGCGACCTTTGAGGCCGCGTCATCCTCGAGCGACACTCAGGAGGCCATTTCGGCCCACTTGCACGAAGTCCAGCTTCAGGTTACTTCTCTAGAACAGCAGGTCGCTTCGCTGCGTTCAGAGCTTCAGGAAGTGCGCCAACAAACTGTGAATCTTGAGGCCGAACGGTACCAGCACTCCCTTCGCTTAGGCTGGTTGGAGCAACTAGTGCAGCGAATCGCCCGTGCTTTCCGCTTTGAAAACGCCAGTTCTTGAATCTCACAATGAGTGAGCACCGGCCGCGTTCCTCTGCTTCGTCTGCTGCGGGGGGTGTGGGTTCAGCTTCGGAACTTGACCTTACAAAGATGGGAGATGCTATTCGCGATGCCATCTTCAGTTGCAGCGAGCCGCAGGTTCTCAAATTGCCGTGGGAGATGCCAGGGTTGGATTTGATTTTTGGAAGAGACGCTCTTGATCAGGTTTTGCCGTCAGGACCTTCAAAAATTGAATTCCCTGTTCCTTCTTCTGCAGATGCTCCTATCGAGGAACAGGCTCGTGCAGTCAAGAAGGTCAAAGTTGCTGCTTTCGGGAGGCCTTGTTTCTTGGGGTGTGTAAACTTCAAAAATCAGGCCTCCGATGCAGAATTAGAGGCAGCAGCTTGGCAACGTTCTCTTGAAAAATGGCATTTCATGCTGACCCTTGACTCATCTGTGTCGCTGGTTGGAGCTTCCTTAGCAGGGCTGGGTCCCGTTGAGGGAATGCAGGCTCTGCGCGAGCTTTTCGGCAGAAAGAAAGAGGCAACCGTGAAGAAGCGAGCTTCGTCGCTGCTCCGGTATGTAAAGTACTTGCAAGAGCACCGCCCTTTCTCTTCTCCATTCCCTTTTACGACCGAAAAGGCGGATGAGTATATCAGGCACTTGAGAGATTGCAAGGTCAAGGGCGGCACTATTGATTCTTTCACTGAGGCCGTCCGTTTCGCCATACATGTTGTTGGCATCGGTTGTGCAGGTGATCCCAGCAAACTCTTCAGCCCCTGGTCTGTGGGGTTGCGAGGGCTAATGCAAACTCAGAAGCCTGAAAGGGTGCCCGCTCTAGTACTGACGGTTGAGCAAGTAGATTATTTGGAGTGCTGCTTGGACGACACGGAGTTGGACATCCAAGATCGCTACGCTTGTGGAGCTTTCTTGTTTTGTGCTTACAGCCGAAGCCGCATAAGTGACATCAAGAGAGTGCTTCATTTCTTCATTGACACTGTCACGGAGGGGACGGAGATCTATGGATATCTTGAGTGTGCAACTAGAGATCACAAGACTTCCCATCAGGCAAGTGTGCAGGGCATGTCAATGCCGCTCGTGGCTCCGGTGTGTGGGGTCCGGTCGGAACCGTGGGGACCCAAGTTCGTGGCCATTGCCGCATCGGCAGGCCTACCGCTTGACTCTGACAAGGATGGGCCGCTTTTGCCAGCTCCCTTGGAAGGAGGAGGGTGGGGCAAGCGTTCGGTGACCACGGATGAGGCTGGCGGTTGGCTTCGATCTTTGCTCAGCAAGGGCAACAAGTGCAGTGATGGTGTGACTGGCCATTCGCTTAAAGCTACGACTCTTGATTGGTGTGGGAAGTTCGGAATCAGTGAGCCTGCCCAGGTGCTTTTAGGGCATCATGCTTTGAAGGGTTCAGCTATGTATGCATACATGCGAGACAAGCTCGCAGCACCGTTGCGCGAATATGAAGGCATGCTCCGAGCCATCAGGCGCAGCTTGTTCCTGCCAGACGCCACCCGATCTGGCTTGTTCAAGCCGCCCCCGGAAGCAGAGCCGGCTCTGAAGGTCGACGGATTGTGCGGAGAACCCAACAGTGATAAGTCTTGGCAGGCTGTTGAAAATCCTTTTCTTGATCAGGGTGATAATCGCAGTGCTTTCGAAGCCTCAGGGAATGAGGAAGATCACTATCGCGCAGTCGCCGAAACCCCGGAGGAGGCAGCAGGATCTGTGCTTGAGGACATTTTCAACCCGCTGGGGGAGCCCGAGGCTGATGCCACGGGAGCCGAGGATAGTTCGTCGTCTTCGTCATCCAGTGACTCTGAGGACTCCGAGGCACCCGCGGGTGCAGACTGGGTCGATGCTTTCAAGAGTGGTTTCAGCAGTTGTGTCGAGAACTCCCCGTTGGGAGAGCCTGATTTGACCTATTGGAGGAACGATCGGACCATGACAATCCATTCGGTCGCGGTCGGGTCTAGCGGAGAGGTCTTCACTTGTGGTCGAAAGCGCACGCAAGACTACTCGAAGATCACGCAGAGCGCCTTTGCCGAAACTAGGCTGTGTTCTAACTGCAGGAAGAGCCGGCCTTTGAGGGATGTGGGTGCCTTAAACGCGGCGTTGGCTAAAAGCCTCAATCGCTGAAAGTTTTTATGCCACGGCGCGAGGTTGCGTAGCGTGGAACAAACGAGTTCTGGCCAAACGGTCAGAGCGCTGCCATTGCCATGTCACGGCGCGAGGTTGCGTAGCGTGAAGCAAACGAGCTCTGGCTAAACGGTCAGAGCCCTGCTATGTCTATGTCACGGCGCGAGGTGGCGCCGCGGTGAGAGTCGGGCGGCTGTTCCAGCCGGCCGGCATGGATCCAGTTGCAAGGTGCAGCTGGGCGACGGTTTTTAAATGGAGCGGGGTAGCCGGGAGGTTCCGGCTGCCGCTGCGAGTCTTGGGTTGCGAGGTGCAACTTGAGCGGTTTTTGAATGGACACCAGCGCGCTTAAATAAAGTCTGCTCTTGACCGTGTTCAGGTTGTGTGTCATGCAGCAGAGCGCCTTGAAGATTCTTCTTTGGAGCTTAGTTTTGACTCGAGTGTGCAGGTAAGCCGGGGTAGTGCCATGGCGAGTGTTCCAGTTGCGACTTCGTTCACGGAATCAAAGCCTGCATTCGTGAAGAGGGCGCTCGAAGTCGGGCTGGAACAGTCAGAAGTCGACCACTTGGTCGGTAAGAAAGTGGACACTCTGTCCAAGCTCGCATTTGTGCTGGTTCCTCCTGGAAAGGTTCCGGAGGACGATGCTGTTGTTGCTCTGCTTCCCGCTGGGGCCAGTGCAGGAGCTTTAGCTGGGCTCAAGCGTCTCCTCTTCGAGGCTCATACCATGATCGTCTCAGCTCTTAAGCAGCGAGTTGAGCGGACAGACGAAAACCTCCCAGCTTCCTTAGATGTGGCCGAAAGGGAGGACCGCCTTGCCAATCAGAAGGCCAGATTGGGCGGTTTGACATTTCAGGGGGACGAGGAGGTCGCTCACTCGGCCTACGATCTTGTGTTTGCTATGGCCCAGAAGAATGAGCTTGTTTGGCTGGCGCCGGAGAAGTTCGGAACCAGGCGTGCTGAGATCAGCTCTAAGAAGAGCCAAAAGGAGTTGGTCATCGATGGCAGTGGAGTGGCTGTGAAAGAAAAGGTCCAGACCACTAATTGTGCCATTGGTAGCGATCTGGACTTAGTGCTTGCCCTCCGCCGTAGAGCATTGGCCATGGACCTCGTAGGCATTGTGTCTTACGAGGTAGCAAACAAGTATCACCAATCGCTGCTTCAGCGACTTCGCGAGGCGCCTCCACCAGACTACGCAAAGGTGACAGTGGCACAGATCAGCCGTGCAGACCGAGCTGCATGGCTCAAAATGGCCGAGACCGTGACCACTCTTCGTCGGTCCAGCTCTGGGAATCTGCCTCTTGATCTGCTCCTTCCGAACATACTGCTTGATCCGAGTGTGGCATACCATTTGTTGCCATTGCATGCCGGCAATCACTCAGGTCCCCCGAAGGCGGATCCCAGCACCGGCACGCCGCCACCGCCGAAACGGCCGTTCACTCCAAATCCACGTCAGCCCAAGAAGCCTTCAAAGCGCACTAACTTCTCCGTGCCCAAGGAGCTTATCGGCAAGGTACACCAGACGCCCAAAGGTCATCGCTTGTGCTGGGGGTTCAATCTCCCGTGTGGGTGTCAGGATGCTAAGCCGGGCGGTAAATGCGCGAAGGGGTTGCACTTGTGTGCAGAGCCAGGTTGCCTGAAGCCCCATAGCATGCAGAACCACACATCTTGACGGCCAATGTCGGCCCCATGCCTGACTTCCGCCGCTGGCGACAGATCCTCGGCAGGTGAGGCCCTTCTTCAAAAGCTTGAGGGCATAGCGCTAGACGAGGTGGTGGTAGTGGAAGTCTTTTGTGGGACGGGGCGGCTTTCCTCTTCTCTGAAGCAAGAGGGCTTCGACTCATTTGGGGTCGACTCCTCGGTATCCAAATTTGCATGTTGTTCTGTTCTTAAGCTTGATCTAACCTGTCTTGACGCATCCACTCACTTGTGGACAATCTTGAAAGATCCGGCTGTTAAATTCGTTCATTTTGCCCCCCCATGGGGGACTGCATACCGTGCGAAGCCTGGGAGCTCTCGAGCCATTCTCCGAAGTGAGTTGCATCCAGAAGGCGTGGGCGATCTTGGAGGTCTCGATGCCACTCGGGTGTCAAAGGCTAATCAATTGTACACCTTAGCCCTTGAGATGTGCTCCTTGTGTTTTCAGCACAGTAAATATTTTTCAATTGCGCATCCCGTGAGGAGCTATCTTTGGATTCTTCCAGCGTGGAAGCGGTTTCTTCAAAGGCATGACATTTTCCAGACTGTTTTTCATCAGTGTGAATACGGTGGCTTGAGTCGACGAGAGACGCTCTTGGTTCATAATGTGCCCAAGTTTCAGGAACTCCAGCGAACCTGCTCGGGCAAACATGTGCATTTAGGTTGGGGCCGCAGTGGCCTCCTCGACAACGTCTCTGAAGGTGCATATCCTTGGGGCCTGTGCAAACTCATGGCTAGCTTGCTCAAGGAGCACTTTCTTGCTTTGGGGTGCGCTGGCCCGGCCACAGAAATCCGTGCCACGGCAAACGTTGTGCAGGCCTCCAGGGCCTTCTCAGGTATGCAATCGCGGAAGCGTGTGCCGCCACTGCTGAGCGAGTTTGCCTCTGTGCATTCAGTTATGGTGCCTTCAAGCTTGGCGGAATCCTTTCTGCGTCCGGGTCAAAAACTGCCGTCGGACTGGAGCCCAGGCTCGTCCGTGCAATGTTCTCCACCATTGGCCCGGTTTCCTGCCGGCAGCCGTGTTCTTCGTGCCCACATGGTGCCAGGGGGGTATGATGAGGACACGAAACTACTTTGCCGGCCCAACTTCGGCCCTTCCTCCCCTTGTGGTTTAGGCCCTGACCCTAGAGCGGTAAAGAAGAGGCCTTTTCCGGGTGAGGTTGATGGGTTTAGCAATCAAACAGGTCTTGATTGGGAGGCCCCTCAAGTGCGAGAGGCAATGAGGTCAGGGTGCGCTGAGGCGGTAGCTAAGCTAATCAATCGGTGCCACAAGGTCCATCGCAAGGACCTGTGTATCCTCCTGGACTTGCTACCTTCGGAATCCCTGAGGTGGGGAGCAGACTCAGGTGCCAGGTCGTTTCAGGCAGGCTGCTTCGTGCATGGCCCTATGCATGGAGTCCGATCAGTCACCAAGCAATTCCCTGAGTGTGTGCGAGCCATGTGCACTTATGTCCGAGGACTTTTCCCGGGGCTAGAATTTGGGACAGTTGGGTTTTTCCGTGACTTGGCAGCGATACCGCACCGCGACGCCAACAATGAAGCTTCCACTGACAATGCCATTGCTGCCCTGTCAGATTTTGAACAAGGCGACTTATGGATGGAGGATCCAAGCGGTGACGTGGAACGAGAGTTTCGAGGCCGTGCTGTCAAGGGAACCTGCATCCCGGTTACATGTGAGGGATTCAGATTCGACGGCCGACGGCTCCACGCGACCATGCCCTGGCGTGGACGCAGAGATGTCATTGTGGCATATATGCCCAGGGGTCCACAAGACTTGAACGCTGGGCATAGGAAGCTCTTGGAAGGTTTGGGGTTTATCCTCGATCGATCTAAAGCCCTATCTTCTAAAAAGAATGTCGCTGGCTTCACCAAGGCAGTGATTGGTGTTTATCGGACACCGGAGCAGTTTGTGGCAGAGGCCGCGACCATCGGCCACCCATCTCAACTGTCGTCACTGTTACCGCCTGAGATTTCTTCTGCCGTGCGGAAAATCCATCGCGAAGGTGAGGCTAATGTGGCCAAGGAGCGTACCGCCACGCTCCGCAAATGGGTGGGGTTAGCTGGACAGCTGGAGCGCGCCGAGAAAGACCTGAAAGCCGAGCTGCCTCAGTTTCGTAAGGACGTCTTGAGCACTAAGCGCTTGGAGCTGTTCCGGCACCTGCTGTGCGAAATCCAACATGAGGATACCACACTGGTTGATGACATTCTTCATGGATTTGACCTCACCGGTAAGTTGCCCCGTTCCAATGTCTTCACGCGGAGGTTTAAACCTGCTGAGCAGTCTGAGGCCCAGCTCAGGGCTGGGGCCAAGAGGCTGCGCGAGGGACTGGTTGCAACCATAAAGGCCTCGGATGACCCGGAGGTGGATCGCGGTGTTCTCAAGGCCACGCGCAAGGAACTTGAGCGTGGCTTCATTGAAGGGCCGGTGCCGCTTGATCAAATTCCTGAGCATGCGTCGCTCACGCATCGGTTCGGAGTCCTGCAGGGTCACACTGATGAAGGGCCGAAGGTAAGACCCATAGACAATTACTTGACGTCCCAAGTTAATTCTTCAGTGACCCAGGTTGAACAGGTCAGTGTCCACACGATCGATGTAGTCGCTGGCATGTTGGGGTGCTGGTTGAATGAATGGTTCATGAGCGGGCGCCCGGAGCATTCTGCTCCAGTGTGCAAAGCGTGGGACCTGCGTACCGCTTACAAGCAGTTGCCGCTTTCCGATTCCTCGTTCGAGCTTGACAGCTTCTTCATTCTTTTCAACATTGAGGAAAGTGGAGGTGAGGTGTACAAGCAGCGAGTTCTTCCCTTCGGTTCCACTGCCAGTGTGACCAGCTTCATAAGGGCTGCCTATGCCTTATGGAAGCTCGGAGCTGTGAGTCTGTACCTTGTCTGGAGCGAGTATTTCGACGATTACTTGAGTGTGAGTGGCGCCGCCTGCGCCAAGCACTGCAACTTCGTAATCACGATGTTCTTCCAGTTGCTTGGGTGGGAAGTCTCGAAAGATAAAGAGCTTGACTACGATGCAATGTGCGTAGTCCTTGGGGTTCAAATCAACCTCAAGGATGCAAAGCTGGGACTTATCTTTCTTGAGAATACTGCGAAGCGCAAGAAAGAAGCTCTTGATGACATCAGTCGTGCTTTGTCCACAGGGCTGCTGGACCCTAGTGAAAGCGAGAAGCTACGAGGCAGGCTGCAGTTTGCCAGTTGCCAGATTTTTGGCAGACGTCCCAAGGCATCCTTGAAGTTATTGGGCCATCACTCAAGGCAGCGGAAGTGGGAAGTCAGCCCCCTCACGCGTTTGGGTTTGATGCAGCTCAAGCAATTCCTTGAAGAGTCCCGGCCCAGACCGGTTCGAGCCAGGCGCGATGAATATGTGCACATTTATGTGGACGCTTCTTTTGAGCCTGGTGGGTTTTGTGGATTAGGGGGTCTTGTCTTTAACTCCTCGGGTTCCGCTTTGAGTTGGTTTGGCTACGAGGTCCGGCCTGAGCACATTCGCAAGCTGCTGACTTGTGAGGATCGCAGCAGAGAGACTGTAATCTTCGAGTTGGAGGCTTTGGCCCTGGCGATTTGCTTGGAGATCTTTCGTCCATGGATTGAGCGGAAAGGCGTTGTTGCATTCACTGACAACGAGGGCGTTTTCGGAAGTTTTGTCAGAGGCCATAGTGACAATCCTTCTTGCAGCACCTTGATTGATTTCTTCAGCTCGAGCGAAGAGAATCTTGAAGTGATATGTTGGCTGGACCGTGTGCCTTCGTTGTCGAACCCAGCCGACAACCCTTCCCGCGGGCATGAAGTCGCCCACGTTCCGAGGATTCAGGTGCCTGCAACGGTTCTGGCGCGTGCGCTCCCGTCTGTCTTCGGGTGAATGGGACACAGGTGCTCAGGGGGTTGCGGGATGTGCCGCATTCACCAGTGCATGTTTTCTCCTGAGACGCCATTTGATGCCCCATGCCACCCACGAGGAAAAGTTGTGAGCGTGAGTGTGAGTGCATGCGTATTTTTATACATAGCGACATATTCCGATTCGATTGAATATATGTCGACTTGAAATTTTGTTTGATCCTATTCGGAGTGGAAGGATTGAACTTATACGATTGCGATTTGTGATGCGGTCACTTCTATTCCTGGAGAATAGATTGAATGATTATGTATGTGGTCGAGCTCATACCTTGCCAGTGAAAATAAGCCACCATCGCAGCCAGCCTGCGTAAGGTATTATTTTCACGGAAAGGTGTTTTGTGATTTTAAAGAATTTCTTTAAAATCTTCGCTCGGCCATGTTTTCATCTTTGTTTCATGTCACTGCAGACATCATGCGGTTTTTATATATGTTGACTTCCGCGATGTTGCAGTGGGTGCTCTGAGGTAGAGCAGTGAGAGTTTTCGAACTCCCACCCACCCGCCCAGTTCGAAGGGGGGTTGCGGGATGTGCCGCATTCACCAGTGCATGTTTTCTCCTGAGACGCCATTTGATGCCCCATGCCACCCACGAGGAAAAGTTGTGAGCGTGAGTGTGAGTGCATGCGTATTTTTATACATAGCGACATATTCCGATTCGATTGAATATATGTCGACTTGAAATTTTGTTTGATCCTATTCGGAGTGGAAGGATTGAACTTATACGATTGCGATTTGTGATGCGGTCACTTCTATTCCTGGAGAATAGATTGAATGATTATGTATGTGGTCGAGCTCATACCTTGCCAGTGAAAATAAAAATGCAGACTTCAGCGAAGTCTTCGATGTGCTGGGCGTTAGAGTCGACCTTTCCAAGCAGCATCTCGGAGAAGTCTCCGTGCGCAACAAGCCCACCAGAGCGGCGGAGCTAGGCAAGGTCCTCAGCGAGGCCCTTGAACGCGGCAGCATGTCGCCCCTGGAAGCGCAAAGCTTGCGCGGCAGATTGATTTTTGCAGAGCAACAGGCCTGGGGTCGCAACACACGCATGGCAGTGATCTGCGTCGGTGACACCCCGGGGGATGGTCCAGAGCCAGTGCCGCTCAGCGAGCAGCAGTGCCAGGCTATGGCATTTTTGCTTCAACGAGTCGTCCATGGCCCACCCCGGACAGTGTCCATTCACGCACGCAGAAAGTTGCATCTTTACATTGACGGAGCCTGCGAGTGGGAGACCCCACGCTTGGTGCCCAAGTGTGGCCTCGGAGCAGTGCTCATTGGCGAAGGCATTGCCTTCACATGGGGACTTCAGATCAGTCCACAGGTAGCAGCCCAGTGGGTTGTTCGAGCACAGAAACAACAGCTGGTGTATGAATGCGAGTTGCTGCCGTACCTGCTTAGTTTGCAGATGTGGGCACAGCACATTGCAGGCAGCGACCTCTTTGTCTGGATCGACAACGACGCAGCGCGTACGTCCCTGCATAAGGCCTTCACACGGAAGGCGGAAGGCGCAGCGATAGTTTCGCAGGCAGTCGACTTCGAAGAATCTCTGCAGTGCAGGGCTGCCTTCTTCCGAGTTCCCACAGACAGCAACATCGCAGATGGGCCCAGCAGAGACTGGTGGGAGGAAACCGAGAAGCTGGGCGCAGATCGCCAGTATCTCCCGCCCAACGCAGTGTCGTTGGCGCTGTCACTCGGCGCGGACTGAATGGGGGGTGAGTAAGGCTTCGAGTGCCTAGAAGGGGGGTGAACCAGTCGTTCGCCTTACCACCGACCAGCGGTCGAGTTTCGCTCTCAGATGCCAGCGGCATCGGCTTTTAGCTGCCCGAAGATCGGGCCCGAACTGACCCCCCATGTCCGCTAGGAGAAAAAAGTGAGTGCTTGCACAGGTTTCCTTCTGCAGCGCAGTTAGGGTTTACCGAACGCGCGCAAACGGAAGTTTCGTTGGGAAATAAGCATCCATCATGCGTGCGTGAATGGGTTTTATTTCCCGCCGAAAGTGTAGACAAAGTTTGTCGAAAAGGAAAACAGAGTTTTCACTTGAGTGTGGGTAACACTAGAGAAACTTTGCCGTGCAGCTTTCGGCTTGTAGCTGGATCTGTGATCCAAGTTTTTTTGTCCCACCCACCACACCCTGTATAGTATGCGGGGTTTGCGGAACCCCTGTCGCAGCAGAGCTGCCAGGAGCAGAGCTCCTCATGCATCTCTAGCCGAGATGCGCTAGCACAGCGTGCCTCTTGTACATAGGCCGTAGGCCGTCAGAACACAAAGTAGCTACTGGTAGTTGCAGTGACCAAGTAGGTCAGTTGATGTTTCACCTTAATCCCCGTTGTACGGGTGTCCTCTGGTAGGGGGCGGGGGGTGAACCAGTCGTTCGCCTTACCACCGACCAGCGGTCGAGTTTCGCTCTCAGATGCCAGCGGCATCGGCTTTTAGCTGCCCGAAGATCGGGCCCGAACTGACCCCCCATGTCCGCTAGGAGAAAAAAGTGAGTGCTTGCACAGGTTTCCTTCTGCAGCGCAGTTAGGGTTTACCGAACGCGCGCAAACGGAAGTTTCGTTGGGAAATAAGACCTTCAGCCAGCCGAAAGAAGGTTCCGTCTGGAAGAGCAAGCACGCCGCCTGGCCGGCATGACGCTCCGCGGTCCGTTGGAATGCTCTTTCAGCTGCTACACGCTTGTCATTCGCATGCTGGCCACTGATGAAATTACTTACCTCGCCCCTAATCGGTTCACCACTAGGGCTCATGAGGTTCAGCAATCCAAACCGCCCAAAGAAGTCATCATCGATGCATCGTCTTCCATCAAGGTGCGAGATTCTGCTGAGCTTGCCGACACGTGTCATCTCCCTGATGCACTCAGCTTAAGTCAGGCTTTGACCCGAAGGTCTCTCGCGCTTGACTTGTGTCAAGCCGCAACGTTTGCAGCCTCCGAACGGTGGCACGCCGAGCTTCTGCGCCATTTGCAGCAGGCACCTCCCATGGAGTACAAGCAAGTGGATACCATGCAAATTTTAAGGGCTGACAGGGCTGCATGGACGTACATGGCCGAAAAGGGCACTTCCTTGAAAAAGCGTGCAGATGGGACCTTGCCCATGGATGATCTCTTTGCAGCTCTCACCACGGCTACCGATGTCATGATGTTCCTCATGCCGCTGCCCGCGGGTGGCCAGAGCAAGCGCCCTTCCGCTTCACAGGTCATGGCGACTCCCAATGGTAGCACCGACACCCCCAACCCGACCAAGAAGAGCCGCACCAAGGCGCGCCGTGAACGCCAAAAGCAGCGTCTGCAGGAAGCCCTGGCACTCGCCTCTGCACCCCCTGCTCATCCCTTTCCTCCCAAGCCTCCTGCTCCGCATGCGCACAGTGCTCTTCCACCTACGCCACCCCAGCCCATTCCGAAAGGCAAGGGCAAGGGCAAGCACAAGCATCACACCAAAGCCTGAGAGTCAGGCCTGCCGCAGGCACGCGTCGTCGACTCAGCCGAGTCCTTCTTCCAGGCCCTGCAAGAGCGTGTTCGCGGCAGGCCCCTTCAGTCTTTGCTTTTTGTGGAAGTTTTCGCGGGTTCAGCTCGCCTGTCAGGTGCTGTCCATGCGTGTGGCGTGGGCAGTGTCTTCGGCATCGATGCTTGGACACCCAAGTCAGCTCCAGCGCCTGTGGTCAAATTGGACCTTGCGCTTGATGAGGATGTCAGAGTGCTTTTCTTGCTGCTTTCCAATCGGGCCTTAGCTGCGGTGCATTTGGCGCCACCTGCAGCCCTCCCAGGTCGTGGCAGTACGCCGCTTCGCTCACAGGCGTTTCCGGATGGCCTACCCGACCTCTCCCCACCCAATCAAGCTAAAGTTGAGCTGTACAATCGTCTCTTTGCATTGGCATCGACCCTTTTCCTTCAGGCTTTCCAGACAGGCATCGTTGCCACTCTGGAAAACCCAGCCTCCAGCCATTTCTGGCAAAGCAGTGCTTGGCTGGATGCATCTTCGTCGATTGTCCCACTGCAGTTTTCCTCTTTTCACACTTGCATGTTCGGGGCTACTTTCAAACGTCAGCTTTGCATTGCACACTTCCATGATGCCTTTCAGGCCTTGCAACTCCCATGTGATCATACTTCGTTGCACCCGACGCATTCTGCACCGAGGGAGTCGGTCACAACATACCCTGCTCCCTTCTGTAGAGCGTATGCACAGGCTTTGCAGCATGCTCTTGGCGCGGCTGGCTCTTCCCCACCTGCGCAAGCCTTGCCGGGTCTTTCTGATGTGCATCTACAAGCTAGGGTGGCTTCTGGCACTCAACCGCGCGGCAAGAGGGTTCCTCCTCTTCTGCCAGAACACAAAGCCATTTGCGTCTTGCAGGGCCCTGCGCAGCTGCTTCCTTCCGGGCCCGTGTTACAGCAGCCTTGGTTGCCTTGCGCAGGCGTTCAGTGCCAGCCGCATTATCCTCTCTTGCCTGCTAAATCACGTGTTCTCTGCGCCCTCCCTTGCGCGGGGATTCAGGAGGGCGGTTCTTCTCTCGATTCCAGTGGCACCCCGTCCTCTCTGGCGGTGGATGCTTTGTGCAAGGGTGACTTGTCTTCTGAAATGTGTGTTCAGGTGCTTCAGCGAGCATTCAACACCCCCTTGGAAGCTAGGCGTGCGGGCATTCTTCAGGACGGCCGACCAGTGGAATACTTTGTTTTGGTCCTTAACCCTTTGCGCCGAACCAGAACCACAGGGTTTAGATCAACAAGGCTTATATGAAAGGAACCCAAAATCTTATTTTTGTATGTGGTTGGCTTTATTTGTGTTTAAAAGTGTTTTTTTGTATTTAAAAGTAGTGTTTTGTATTTAAAAGTTTTTTAAATAGGTTTTTTTGTGTTTTACAGTTGTTAAAATTCTTTTATTTTATTTTTGGTGTAAAAAATACATGTTTGTGAATTTTGTTTCTGAGTGAGTCAATTGGCTTCCTGTTGTTCTACCTGGTTTCCTGCTGCTGTATGTCTACA